ATATAATATATAATATACTGCCTCTCTCAGTTATAGAGAGGCATATAACTGCAGGTTAAACTCAAAAAAATGCGTAACAAGGCTATCTAAGTCTAATAACTACATATGGGCTGTTACACACTTCTGACCAACATACTACAAAATAGATCTGCAGATGGTAAGTTAACCGATAAAAATTTATTTAATAACTCAAAATACAAACCAGTCAAGAGACTTCTGACAGCTAGAGGTCTTCTAGGTTCTTGCCCATGCGGTCCCTTTAAGATGAGAGGTTTGTTTTCTCCTTTTGGAGATGTAAGCTGCTTTCTGGCTGGAAATGTCTCAATGCTCCTTGGAGATTTGCCCCGAAATGCTGAAATACATTTCTTCACTTTTTTGGGTGTTTGTTTCTTCTCCAGCAGTGAATCCAGATCCTGCACCAAATATTTAGAATTTTAACTACTCTCTCAGTAAACCCGATGTAATAATGAGAAGCAAATCCAAGAGATTCTAAGTAGCTGGAACTTTTTTTGTGTGGTTTGGTTTTTCTGGTAGTGATTATTCCTGATAGCTTGCTCATACAGAAGCTTCCTCATATTATTAACTTAATCCTTACAGAACAGGCTTGTATTTTTGTATTTACAATTGACTCCAGCAAATTATCTGCTTACAGCATGTTCAAAAATAAATGGACACAAAGGCTACAGATGAAAAAAACCAACTGCCCATACGACTATGGTAAGATACACTTCTTCCAATGCTAAGTCCAACCTTAAATACTCTTTTGCTGTTCCCAGGCAGTTAGCACTGTTACTGTTCTCATAAGCAGTTCAGAATGATAAAAATAAGAACGCAGCTCTTACAGTTAGAACAATATTTTAAGGAAAATAAAACATCTTATGGCTATTTTATCAGTTGCTTTTATTCAAATTAATTAAATATCGGTTTCATGATAGTTCAGGTTACATACGTTCCTACTTTAAAAAAAAAATCTTGTAGGTGGAAACTGCAGCAGGATACATGAATCAGAACCTCTCTGTTATACCAACAACATGTTTTACGACATCAGATATCACTAACAGAAAGCTATTTGAAGGGCATAGAGCTTAAGTAACTCTTATAGCCACAACTTTATCTTCTGCCTGGACAATTCTGCACCCACCACCATGCATGAGGCTCAAATGCTCATCACTAATCCAGATGACTAAAGCACGCATCACAAAGCAATAAACACATAACTTACACCAATGTATAAAATGCAATTCTTTCAGTCCTGAAAATGGCAAACAAATCAGAAACTGGTGCTTTGTTACCACTATCACCACCAGTCCTCATTCTACCAGGAGCGCCAATAAAGACAGGAACAGCATCAACAAGAACAGCAGCCGGTATCTTCTGTGTTTAGGATGCAAGTCTATTTTGGACCACCATTATTTAGGAACATTAGAAACATACTTATACATTAGAAAATACAGCCTTAAAAATAATAATAATGAAAAAGAGTAAGATATTCTGTCATTTCATGAACACACAATATAGTTTGCAGTCTCATATTTCACTACACCTTTTCTGCCTTAGCAAAAAGAAAATGTTTCTTCCTACCTCAACTTGCAGCAAAATATCTATGATAATGTCAGAAATGGAAGAATCCACTTCTAGTTTAGCGGAACAGAGAGACAGCTGTCGAATGAGGTTGCCGAGTTCCTTGTAGTGCGTAGGAATCTGCTGCTCTGTTTGATCTGTAAACTGATTGGCAAATGCCTGCAAGGCTCGTACAGCTGCTCTGTGTGCTGCCGCCAATCTGGATACTGCTCGAGACTGGAAAAATGAAAAATAAGTGTTTTAATAGCTATACTTTCTATGAATACTGATACTATTCAAAGAATTGTTGCCAAAATTTCATGGAGAAACACTCGGGCTTGGGATAATTCTGGTAGATATGAGGCCATTTGTGAGACAAAACAGGCGTTTAAGTAATCTACTGACGGTAGTACACAACAGTATTCCTAACAAGTATCATGCTAGCTTCTGATAAAATAGCCTGGTTATAACGTATTCTGATGCTTCTGCTACCTATACCAACAGAGTACTGTAGTCATGGGCTTGACCCTAATGTGCAACAATTGTACAACCATAGAACATTCTGAATCCTCCAGTTTTTGATACAGAAGAAAATACAAGGGATGGAAAAGCACAAGAAAACAACAGGATAATATTGGCCAAACAGTAAGCATGATGTCAGTACTATCTTTCTGAAAGACGCTGAGCAGAGAAGAAAATCAGAAAGGAGGATGATAAGACTGAGTGACGTCAACAGGAAGTTAAAAAAGTAGTCAAGGGTAGAACACGATGTTATTCAGAAAAGGAAGTGGAAGAAGTAAGTGGAAGCCACATAAAAGCAGAAGACCAACAGCATTCCTTTCCGGTTTACTGTAGACAGGTAAGAACTGAGGAGAAGAGGGAAGCAGCAAAGGCAGTATCAGACCAAGTGAGACATAATTCTTTGAGAATGAGAAGAAAGGTGCAAGATACAAAGAAAACATCCCTTCTGGAGAGGGCTCAGGTGTATCCTACACAATCAAACTCAACTAGCTAAAAAACTTCCTGTCAGTAAGTTACTCACAGGCTGAAGGATAATTACATCTTACCTTTTTAGTATGTTTGATTTTATGAGGACTCAGTTTCTCTAAATCATCCTGAATTTCTTTCACCTATTTATCAAGAAAGGAGAGGGATGGGGAAATTCAGTCAGAATTAGCTCCATGTCTATAAATGAACAATTAATCTTCACTGTACTTCTGAATGAAAGTCCAAGTTTTCCAACAGTGCTGCTCATATCTCTGTCCAGTCATGAGAGAAATTAGTCACACTATTCAGATCTAAACTAGAATGCCATGGAAGTTCAGAGATAACCTGATTGAATTTCTATTGTTTCACTTCATTTCTGTCAAATTCATCACAATAAACTAGCTACTATACATCTCAATTTAAAATGCTGGTTCCTACCTGTTGCTGGAGTACATACAGCATCCGAGCTGACCGTGCAGCTTGTTTCTGTCTCCTAGTGTAAACTTGTTGCTCTTTATCAGGATCTAAAATTTCTCTCTCTCTCCCTAAAAAGCATGAAAAGTAAAGTTTTATGTCTTAATTTAACCTGGGAAAATCCCAATTAAGCCATGATAACAAACATAATTTAGCAATAAACCTCTTTCACGCAGAACCAATACACAATGTATCATATATTTTGCAGGGCTCCCTTGAGCAGTAATACAAGCTAGTTATTTTAACTCTACATCATGTTTCTATTTACAATTTGACTAAACATTCTTACACAATATAGCTTACAAAATCACGTGACCCCTTAGCTTTATGACAAAGTTGCAGGTAAAGCACTCAAAGTTAGGAATGGTTAAAGCTCCAGCTAGTTACTACAAAAGAACCAACGCAGTGTATACTAAGGCCAGCTGGGATGGAGTTAGTTTTCGTCACAGTCACCAGTATGGTGCTGTTTTGGATTCATGATTTAAAGTGTGTTGATAACACACCAGTGGTTTGCCTATCGCTGAGCAGTACTTGCACAGCACTAAGGCTTTCTCTTTTTTCAGCCCTGCCCTGCCAGTGCATAGGCTAGGGGTGTGCAAGAAACTGGGAAGGGACACAGCCAGGACAGCTGACCCCAACCGATCAAAGGAATATTTCATGCCAGGCTCAGCAATAAAAAATTGATTTTTTGCGGGGGAAGGTAGCCATTGCTCTCAGATTGGCTAGGCACTGGGTCTACTTGTGGGAGAGAGTGAATGATTGCCTTTGCTTGTTTTGTTTTTTTCTGTCTTCCTCTTTCTTTCCGTTATGAAACTAGCCTTATCTCAACCCATAAACTTTCTTACTTTCAGTCTTTCTATTCTCTCCCCTGTTCCACTGTGGGAGAAATGAGCACTGGTATGTGGCGCTTTGCTGCCGACAAGGATTAGCCCACAACACAGTATCAGAAAGCACGTTAATCATGCTACTGCACAGCCATAAATTAGGCAAGTCAGACTTGTGAAATGAAATTTTACCAGCTGTTGCCCCTTTTCTCATCACTAATAAGAATGCAGTTAATTATGATCCTATTTTTTGCAGTCTGAATATCTAGGCAATAGGCCTATAGACACCAATATTTTTTCACCCACATTATTAAACAGCCCACTGCTAATTTACTATCATTGCAGGTTGGACTGGAACTCACCACAAACACTCAGAGATATTAAACCCTGCTACTGCTTAAACTAGCTAGCCATTCTAGCTTTTATCTACTTTTGAAAAAAGTAAATGGTTCTCAAAAATCCAGAACTAAACATGGATTCTAATCCAAGCCAAAAAAACAGAAGGAAAAAAAAAAAAAAATCAAGAAACTACTTTACATTTATATAACGTAATTATTGTTCAGTCTTACACCTTTTTTAGTCAGTTCTTCAATTTTCTGGACATAGCTCCTCAATTCCTTTTGCAGACGTCTGACTTCCTGCATATTTTTATCTTCTCTTTTGTTTACATTTGGCTTGGGGTCCAGTCCTGTGTCATGGGTGGGTGGAGAGTCCAAAACAGCTGGTATTAGCTTTCCCTTACTTGGTGTGTAGAGACAAACTTTAGCACCAGAGGTAGTAGTCTCCATTTTGGAAGGCTGACAGAGCTTCTGCTGATATTGCAAGCGAGTTTGAGACTTCAGTGTATTTTTATTTTCTGGACTTTTAGTCTTCTGCTGTTGTGACTTCTGGGCCAACAATGGTTTATTGACAGCATCTCCAAACACTTGCTGTTTCACTTGCTCTTCAAGATGTCTTCGTTTTATGTCCCTTTTGGCTAGATGAATAGCCAGTTTTAGTCTCTCTTCAGATATCACTGAAAACATGCCAGAGCTTCTTACGCTGGGGTCCTCACTTTCAGTTAGATTTCTCTGATCATTGCATGCCTTCAGTTTTTCTATTATAATTGGACGGGGGTTAGAGAATCTGAGTGCCAAGTTCTCTGGAACTGCGGGAACATTTCTATTAAACTGGAGCTGTTCCAAAGTGCAAAAAAAAGCTGATGTTACACAGAACACTTTACACTGGTGATGTACCTCTAGTGTGTAACAGTAAGGAAAATGGATCTTCTTTCATATTAGAATGCATTGTCATAATGGTACTTCTTCAATGTATGCAAGGCATTCCGTCCACTCAGACAAATGCCAGTATTAAAAATTATTTTGAATTAAGCATTTAGATCATCTTGTAAATAACATTAGGCACTTACTGCAACTTAGGGTCGGCACCTTAGGGAGGGTACACACATTGAAAAATCTTCTCCAAAGTGATTGGGCAATGGACAATGAATGCTCTTACAAAGATTTTTTAAGAGTTCTGACAATGAAGTTAATGAATTTTAACAACAATTAACATTAGTAATATAAATGGCTATGATTATATCATACTGATTTAGTAAGGCATTACTAAATTTACAAAAGTAACAGGAGAAATTATGAAGGAGATGCGTGATGAAGGAGAAATGGAAAGCTGAAACATGGTACCAGAATAAAGTTTCTAGAGCCTGTTCCCACGTAGTAAAGTAAGAGGTTAAGATAGTGTATTTGTTTAGACTGGGATAGAGTTAAATTTCTTCATAGTAGCTGGTACGGTGCTATGTTTTGGATTTATGATGAAAACAATGTTGATAGCACATCGATGTTTTCATTATTGCTGAGCAGTGCTGACACACAGTCCAGGCCTTCTCTACTTCTCACACTGCCCTGCCAGCAAGTAGACCGGGGTGGGCAAAAGAAGCTGGGAGGGTACACAGTCGAGACAGCTGACCCCAGCTGACCCAAGGGATATCCCATACCATATGACATCAAGATCAGCAATAAAAGCCATGGGGAAGAAGGAGGAAGGGGGGATGTTTGCAGTTACAGTGTTTGTCTTCCCAAGTTACAGTTACACATGATGGAGCTGCAGAAATGGCTAAACACCTGCCTGGTGATGGGATGTAGTGAATTAATTTCTTATTTTGCTTGGCTTGCACACGCAGCTTTCTCTTTACCTGTTAAACAGTCTTTTATCTCAACCCATGAGTTTTCACATTTTTACCCTTCCAATTCTCTTCCCCATCCCACTGGCAGACAGTGAACAAACGGCTGTGTGCTTAACTGCCTGCTGGGATTAAACCACCACAGACAGCTAAATAACACTTATAGATAGAGTTTCAGATCTATATTGTTACAAAAGGACAGTGTCAAGATTATGTATGAAAGCAAGTATGAGAATTTGACACTTGCTAGTGGGCTATCTCAGGAAATGGGTCAAAATAATCTTTTTTTTTTTTTTTTAACTATTACAAATGAAAACCAGTTCAGCATTGCTGCGGAAGTCAAATAATACCTGCGTTTGTAAAGCCTTTGCTTCATTCCTGTATAGCTGGGTAGTGAATGCAAATGTAGCATCAGACATAGTTGGCTTGCTTGGTTCCATCACATTGGCTTGATGCTGAAGATCCAGTTATTTGTCCCTTACCTTACAATTACAACTATGAACATAAGAAGAATCATACATTATTTCTGCCTCTCAAAAGCAATCCCAGGTCTGATGTGAATAACTGATAGAGAACCAACCTGAGAAGGCATATAGAAATGGAAAACAAAACAAAACAAAAAGGTGGTACACAAAATGGAGAGTACAATCCTGACTCTTAAGGCAAAATTTACAGATTCGTATCCTTCTTTTACACACACCCCCAGAGAGCTGAGGAGCACCATTACAGACTATGAGGCTCACACTATGAGCCATAAGACTGCCGCAGAACTTTTATAGCAATTACCTACCTAAAAGGAAAATAGTATACTGCAACGATAAGGAATGCAAACAGACTAGCAAGAGAGGCTAAAGCAGTGCTCAAGGCAGCCGGGTCTGTACAAAAAAACGCTAGTGTCAAAGGAAAACAGATCAAGGGCACACTCATACTTAAACTTCTTCACAGAGAAAGACTTAAAATAAAAGCGAAACTTATGTCTCCTTCATTTGCCTCCGAGAATTAAAAAATTATCAGGATCCAACGCATAACGTTGTTAAAACTTCTGCCGCGACTGAACTACAGACTTTGTCTCTGCTCCTTAGCTCAGCTGCGCGTACCTCTCTTCTGGTCTCACACAGCTCGGAGTCCAGACGCGTGTTTGGCCTTGCAGGTTTTGGTCACGACGCACCCCTCGCGACGAGAGGGCCTGCCCTACGGTACGACCTCCCTCCAGCCGCCCGCAAGTGAGACCTGTCGGCGACAAGCTCCCGCCCTGGCGGCCCACCGGCAGCCTGCTCCCCGCCTCGCCCTCACCAGCATCCCGCGCGGGCGGGCGG